ATATGTAACAAGATCAAAAATAAAATGGAGTTTTAAGAAGAGATTTAGAGTTCCACAGCTCAGTCAGTCAAGACTCCGGTTTCACGGTCTGGCACAGTATTTTTCTTTTTTTTGCATGACTGGGCCTTTATACGGGTTTATGGTGGCTTATTCTACAGTCAGGAGTAGCTTGAACATTTAAGAAAAAGCATTCATTAAATTAAACAATATAGTAAGAAATCAGAATGCATGAAAGTTGCAGAATGTAACAATTATTATTATCTGCAACATAGTAAAAAAAATGATGAGGTAGATATTCCAACAACTTTCTTTTCAAAACAAAATGTTTTAAAACAGCTGTATAAGCAATATAAACTGACCACAGGTCTGTTGTTGTAAATGGTCGACTGTACATTAGTGTTGTTGGTATAATGCTGAATATCAGTTTGACTTTAGTATTTTTGCCCCGGCAAGACAAAACGTTACCTGGAACCCAGTGTTTTAATCATCGATCTGACGACCTGCTTTTCCTGTCATGTGCAGGGCAAGTTAATCGCACTCTCCGTCTTCGAACATGTTTTGTGCTGAGGTGACTGATGTTGCTAGTGTTAGCACAGAAACAGTGGCTACTTAGGATCTTTAAAAACCAAAAAGATGCAAACACCAGACACAGCTCTTCTGTTTGACACACATTCTGGTTTCTCTTTCTTCATCCTCCATCTCTCTTTTCTGTTCTTGAATGTGCAGTAGTGAGGGAGCCTCTCAAAGCTGTCAACAGACATGTCATGCTACTAGCTAATAGCTGTAAATAAGTGTAAATGTACACTTATTAGTTTTACAAATTCTTTAAGTGTCACAAATGAACACCTGCCTCTGTGTTTTACCAGAGAGTTCGTTGGTGGTTATTAATTGTTGTGTTGCAAAGTTCTAACCATGAGTGAGCAGTAGGGGTGAAACGATACACGTATTCGTATTAAACCGTTCGGTACGGGGCTCACGGTTCGGTACGCATTCCGAACCGAACAATACGTTTGAATAATATTGAATAATATTATTAATATATAAAAATAAAATATAGCTGAAATTGGTGGAGCCACTGCGCTCAAACATGGCAATCCATCCGAGGTAACGTGCTATCCTTCCCTGATTCGCCACGTTCCCATCACGTGACCTTTCCCGGATGTTCACAAACAACAACAGTCTTGATTACCGATCGACTACCAGGTTAATTCAACATGAAGAACTGATTAGAGGCGTTGTTGACCTTGTTGTCTTTACTAGCAGCTGTTGTTCAGTTAAAGTCTGCATTTCTGTGGAGGAAGCAGCTGTTATTGGAGCGATCAGTGAGCGGCATGTCCAGCGGAGGTATCAGCCCTACGGAGCGGCCGTCTGAAGTCGCGTTAGCGGCTTTAGGGAGGACGGACACAAAAGGAGGACTTTCCTTTTCTTATTATTGTTTATTTTGTTCTGTACAACTATGTACAACAAGTTAACACACATAAACTATAAAGGAACAAAACATGGATTGCTCTCCAGTATGACAGAGACTTCAGCAGAGCTACGAGTGAGAACAGACAACAACGACACCGAGGGAACGAGTGAGAGACGTGTGTTGACCACATTTATGGATCCATAATCTAGTAAACCTTTGTGTGTAAGTGTTGACTTTAATGTAAATATGAGGTGAGAGAGAGAGAGATAGAACAAGACCCCCAGCACTTTAACTAAGTCTGAAAAATAAAATTTCTAAAACTTTCTACGAACTGTATCTGTTTGAGTTCATAGAGGAAGATTTTAGAGAAGATCTTAAGTATCAAACACGACCTTTCATTATTAAAGACTACTTTATTAATCTGCCGTATTATTTTAAGTAAGCAACCAATCTACTTCTTGTTTACACCGGCACCATCACACCCAGTGTATGTGAATAGTCATGTAATATTCGTTACAAACGCAGCGTTTAGGTAGCTGTTCCCTCCTGATTCAAACAGGGCTAAAGGTATATCCCTACTCTGTAGTGATAAACCAGGCTGTACGAACATGCTTAATGCTATTGAGCCCCGTGACACTACACCTTCACCAGCCCATTTCTCCAGACCATAATTCCAGCTTTGTAAAAGAAAACAAAAGCCCAAACAGAGAATCAATTCAGACACGCCCCCTTGAGAGTCTCACCAGCGAGGATTTGGCATTTCTGCTTTTTTGCTGTATTGAAAACGTACCAAAACGTACCGAACCGTGGCACCACTGTACCGTATTGAACCGAACCGAGAATTTTGTGTTACACCCCTAGTGAGCAGGGTAAGCTGTTCATTACAAACCTCTCATCCACAGTTTTTAATATTTTCCCTGAAATTAGAATCTGGCATATTTTAAAACCTGGCAGCAGTGTTCGGTATTAAATCCAGTCTTTTGATGTTTCGTCCACTGATACCAGAATAAAGTGTGTTGCATTAGTCAAGTCTGGAGGAGATAAAAACATGGTTGACCTGATCTTAGTTAAATGTCCCAGATGGATAAAGCAGGACTGCATCACGTTACTCACCTGAGCAGCAAAAGACAACTTTAAGTCAAAGGTTACGGACCTCTTTATTAACAGAATTAGATTAGGCAGACACACCAGTTTAGTGTTGATGCTGCTTGTGCTGGGTCAGAAGGGGTAATCTACAGGAAACTCTTCATGTTCTTCATCTTCAATTCTTCATAGTAAACAAAAGGAGGGCCCAGAAGAGACCCATAGGGGACCCCACAAAGGACAAGAGCACCAGAGGAAGATCTCCAGGCCTAACAGAGCAGGACCTGTTGGACAGATAAGAATAACCAATCCAGAGCCCCGTCACTGATACTGACATATTGGTCAGCAATTAGTTTGTTGTAACTTCATGAAGCAAGGGTATTCAGTTAAATGTAGGCCAACAATGAACTGAAATAATAAAGAGTATTGTCAGGTCAAAACAACCTTGATGATGTCATAGTGGTTTGCTAAAAAGTCTTTCCGGTCAAAATCTTCACTTTGTCAAGTGTCTTAGACATTGGTGTTTAGCCTACTGGTGGTAGGTTGCAATATGGGATGTAATATCTAGTATTTTCATCTATTTTGACCATCCTTTGTAAAGTCAGTCGAATTTAGGAAGGTTGGCCCATTTAGACCCTATTCAAACCAGGTTTTAACTCACGGGCCTTCGACATCAGTGGTTCTCAAACCTTTGTTCAGCCAAGTATCCTGTAACCTCCGCAGAACATTTACGGTAGGAAAATAAATGCGTTTATTGCGTTTATTGAAAGTTTATGGCAGTTAACGATTGCATTGAAAATAGGAATATTTAATACAAATGTTAACCTACATTTACATTTAGAGAAGAACCTTCAGCACCGTTCTTTGCTCTTCTTTCAATGAAATACTCTCCAATTCTGATATAACTGATGCTATCACAGCATCTACGCTAACCTCTTCAGGAGCCACCATTGTTGTTTGAAATAGTCGCCTCTCTGTGCTGTGTTGCACACACCTAAGCCGTCTGAAGCTAGTAGCTCCACAAAGGACGCTGATGGACGCTAACCATGGATGTATAAAGAGAGGGGCACACAGCATCAGAAAGTTGCTCATTTGTGCATGAAGCAAAAAAGGTAAAGAATTCAGATAAAAATACCTGCATCTTTTGACTAACTTCCACATCCATTGACGTGAGAGTTAAAATAGAAGACTTCACAGGGTACAACACAGTCACATATGGTCTGCACTTGTCGAAAGGCTCTCTAGCTGGCGCACAAGTGTACCCAAAAAGTTCTGTCAGACCAAAGAGCACCTGAGCAGACAACATCCCTTTATTGTAACCCTCAAACATCCAGCTCCAGTTACACTGCGCATGTCTCGCACACCACAGCTCAAGACCGTGTCCCAGCCTACATTCAAAAGGCCTTGATCCATGGGGACCATAGAGCAAGCACACTAGCGTTTCCTTTAACCCCGCCACCCAGCCCTTGGTCCAGCCCCATTCGCATGAACGGAGGAAGGAAAATAACACTGGATTTGGCTATTAGTGCATTTTACAACTTTTAGGACCTAATGATTAAATAAGGGCTATTCATGTGTTCGTGGGAAGTTGATTTACCTAAAAAGAAAAGATCCACTGACATACATGCGTCTCTTTCCCAGTGTAATTTTATGGGGAAAGGTTTTTTCAGGCCCAATGGCAACGTGACAGACCTTGAAAATGTCATTCCACCGTTTGGCACTGTGCAAAATTTGCTTCAAACTCCAGCACTGTTCCTGGGGACACAACCGCATCACTTGAAGCCGTTGCTCGGCCGGCCAGATCGGCTCGGGGTCCTGCCTTTACAGATGATGTCACACATTATCATTGGCTGTATGTGGGAGAGACTAAAGTGATTCGCTGGGTGGGCTTACGACCCGCCCCTACACTGCGTCCGATTGGCTATAGCAGGCCTTCAACGTCAACTTTCGTCAAACTACGAAATAGACAGGCCCAAGATGGGAACTTTTGTTCGAGTAGTAGGTAGGCTACCTGTACCGAACAATAGGATGTTTTGACATGCAATCTCATAGCTATAGAAAGTTGGCATTTAGTAAAGGCCTGCTATAGCCATATGTGGAGACTGTGGCTGAGTGGAGAGCAGGGTCGTCCTTCAATCAGACGATCAGCGGCACCGCTAGTCGCATGTCGATGTGTCCTTGAGCAAGACACTTAACCCCAAAATTGCTCCTGTAGCTGTGCCTACGGTGTGTGAATGAATTAGTCTGATAGGCAGGGGGCACTTACCCTGCCTTCAGTGTGTGAATGATGACCTATAGTGTGAAAGCGATTTGAGTGGTTGGAAAGACTAGAAAAGCGCTTTACAAGTACAGTCCATTTACCATTCATGAAATTCACTTCTGAGATTTTGAGGCGATTTACTAACGGTGTAGATTTTGAATATTGGCAGTTTTACCAAAATTGATAGCGAATCGAAGGGACCTCCCTCTGGTCCTCTATGCTCTGGGCGGGTCCTGGCATGCCTCTTAGCGCCCGGCTGTATCCAGCAGCCTCACTGTACTCTGCTCTCCCGCCAGACAACTAGAGAGAGGTCGTCGGGGTCCGGGGTCTTGTGGAGCATCTTAACAAAACTGTTGGAGCAAATTTTCGATTCAACATTAATTTTCGTAAAACTCTAATATTCAAAAACGATAGTTGATTTCGCACCTCAATAATCCTCAGAAGTGTGTTTAATGATGAAATAGCATACAAAAACTGTCAAAAAACGTTTCGTTGTTCGGACCGAGTAGCCTACTTTCGGACTACGCAAACAAAAACTCTTCCTGGGCTGTCTAGTTCGTAGCGCCACTTATCATCATAGCTAGGCTAACATTAGCATTTAGCAACGTCTTGGAAGGTTTTATCCAATCAGACGCCAAGTGGGAGTGGGTCGTAAGGGCACCCAGAGAGTTAGTTTAGTCTCTCGTGCATACAGCCATAATAATGTGTGATGTCATCCGTAACGGCAGGACCCCGAGACGATCTAACGCCTCCACCGGACGAAGCGGATTTCTGTGTTATAATCTGACCCCACCATTCTTGTGTAATCTGATGTAATAATAAAGATGCTACTTTATCTCACCCTTATGGACTCTATAGAATCTTTTTAGAAGTTTCGAATCTACAGCATCGCCATAGGGGAACCAGATTGTACTCCTGCATTTCTAATGAATTATAACTTGTAAAAAACTCAATGATGTTATTGACTAAAGGACTAGTACATTTATTTTAAATGAATAACATCCGATAGTTACAATGATAAAGAGGTGAGCTTCTTTTCTGTTTCATTGTAAATACCTCTTTGGGTTGTTGGCCATTTGAAAAACATCCTTTTGGAATATTTGTTTGACATTTTTCATTATTTTCAAGTTTTAGATTGCATCATTAATGATTAATTGACGGGATTCATCAATAATAAAACCAATTGAATAATCACAACCCTCTGGTGAAAATCCTCGTAGCCGCCAGAGTCACACAGCAATCCCTGAGGAATATCACAGGGCTATTCTAGGGAGCTGTTGCAGGCAGAGAAATCCACCTGCGTGCAGGAACACTACCCAGCGATCAGCTGAACCATGACGCGCGTGCAGCAGAGATCACAGCGACTTTTTAAGTTTCTAAACGCAAAGCGACGCTTCGCACAACGGTGCTGTTCATGGAATCACGCGAATCCGCAGCACCGATACCCGTCCGTGCATGTGGCAAGAAGGGGCCGCTGTTAACGGTGGCGCTTCCAGACTGATGTGAGGGCTTGTTTGGGAGAGAAATAAACACCTTACCTTCTGAAGGGGGGGGGGGGTCCTGCGCTACCTATGCGCTCGTACGGAGATGCAACATCAGTTCTTCTCCACAAACAGCGCGGTTCTCCAACGAGCCCCGGTCCCCCAGCGTCCACACCCCGAGTCAAACGCAGACACGTCCGAAAAGTGATAGAGAGAGACCGGTGTGTGGAGATCAACGTGTCTCCGGGCTCCGGGCGGCGGACAACCCGTCAGCCTGCCTGACACACAACTCAAGTCACACACAGAGAGACAGCTTCCGCTCATCCCTTTCAAAGTAAAATACATAAAAACAAACGTGCTCTCAGTTTTTGTTTAGTTCTATGTCAGCGTTAGTTGACGTGACTCATTAATGACTCATTAATGACTCTACGTTCATTTATTTGTTCATGTATTAATTTATTAATTTGAATGATTCATTAGTCATATAAAGAGGCTAGCATCTTTTATCTATTCATCTGTCTTTGTCCCCCAGTCAAAGTAAACTGTCCCCGTAGGCTACTGCATTGTGGGTACTAAGTGGACATGTACTGGACAAGTTTGTGTCACCTGTCAGCACACTGCAACATTCTGTTGAAAAATCCATTCCAGCCTCTGGTCATATAAACACTGCAAAATTGAGGGGGTGGTTTACTCAGGTTATTAGCCTATTATGTTTGGCTGTGAAACATAGGCCACATCATCAGGTCTTAACCTCTTACATAAACCACACTGCCCCCTATCCCTAACCCAAACCACCGAGGCAAACGCTATGCGACGAGGGAACAGACTCCACCGCTGTGAATTACCCCGTTGCTGTGTTCCATTTATCTGCTAGTACCAAAACCCAAACAGAGAAGGTGTAACGGGCTTCACGGTACATAAAATTATCTGACCCCAAACCGTTTCCAACTCCACCCTATTTTGGAGCAAAACCGCCTAAAATGACATACCCAAATTAAAATGGCTGTAGCTTCTGAACCACTCTGACTATATGCATCAATGAGGTCTTTCTAGAAAGAAAACCCCCTAAGGTTCCTTGTGGAAGTGTCAGAAAACCTGTAGGTTATACAGATCAGGCCTTTGTAGGCCTTTGAAGTCAGTATAAATTGAAGATTTTTGTCCGCCTAAAATAAAAAGTGTCTTTCAGTATAAATAACTGCCTGTGGCTGTATCTGTACAGGTAAAGGACAGTATATGGCTGTAACTACACTATCAGTGAACAACTGCCTCAAATTTGAAGAAGATTGGACAAAGTATGACCATTCTACAGTGTTTCTTCCATGAAGAGATCCAGGTGGAGCTCTAAAAGGATATTTGGAGACCCAAATGGACACATGGTAACCAAATGATATTCTGACACACTAAAGGTGTTTCTCCCTTTATATTTTGATATGATATTATTTTCCTTTTATTTTTAGCCTTTGCAAATTGCAAAAACTATGTATATATGGTCGAAGACATGGTGTGTGAGTAGCGGACTTGCTGTGCGTAATGGCTGCGACAGAGTGCACGATTGAGTATGCCGGTAGCTCATTTATGCAAAGGTTATACGTTGGTTTACGGCTTACGTAAGAAACAGTCAAGTTTTGCACTATAAGTACTAGCGTTTTCTGAAGGCACTAGTTCCATGGTAAGATCTGCTAGCACATTGTCGGGTCTGTAATGTGTCTTTTTCCGTCGAAATGCTGCAAGATCCGACTTGCAGCGGTTATGATGACTTTAGACAGTGTGTGTTTGGGCTCCGTTTGTGACAAAATCCATAAGAAATGAAAGAAAATAGATGTTTTCTTTGCGAAGATGAGGACTTGGGGCATGCTGGGATACCAAACAAGGCCATGTTTTGTGACGTATTTTGCGGAAGCAAGCCGTACGAACGGAAGGGGAGGGGATCGAGGACGCCGGCGTCCTCGCGGGGTGCAGGAGGTTAAACGCTAACATTAGCTGTTGTGGCCTGGAACCAGTGTTGCCAACTTGGCGACTTTCTCGCTAAATCTGGCGACTTTCCAAACCCTCATGGCGACTTTTTTTGTCAAAAGCTACTAGCGACAAATCTAGCTACTTTTTCTGGTGTTGTTGGAGACTTTTCTGGTGTTTTGACTCTGATATGAAAGCACGTACTGTTCAGCACGCGGGAGCTGCCGTGAGCCCCTCCGCTGCCTCAAAGCACTCAAAGGTGATTAATCTCACAGTAGCCCCTCGCACAGCAGTCCCAGCTGCAGAAAGAGGAGACCCACATTCTCCGTGTCCAGACTGCAAATCAATCGCGCATGCGCAAAGCCGCAGCTGTTCCCGCCTCTCTCCTACAGCGCTCATTACAATTATGCAAATTAGGCGATGACGTCATTTAGCGACTTCTAGCGACTTTTAGGACAGCCAATAGCTACTTTCCTCACTGAGGAGTTGGCAACACTGCCTGGAACATACATTTAACGTACTCTGGTATATCGATGTGGAGGACAATGTCCCTGATCATTTGACGTTTTTTTTTAATTGGTTGGTTTACTGATCCTCTCGGTAAGTCTGTGATTACATTTTCATTGCTGTACATTTCAACTTACCGGGGTGATTAAAGACACGCTTTAATTCTGAAGGGATATTCAACTAATTTCCGGCTGCGTTCTGGTCTTTCTCTAGCAGCTTGACGCAAAGCTGCCTAGGCGAGCCTGATGGACAGCCCCTGTCCCATGTGGTGTGGAGGAGCAGAAGACATATGACGGAGCGGTCATCTCCATCAGCTCTTATTCCTGTAGTCAGTGTGTACTAGTCAGTGTTGTCCAGCTGCATGTTTAGCTGCTCTGTATATACTTATAGTGCTGATAGTGTGCCTAAACTACAGGCTTATGTGTCACTGTTGCCCTTCTCAGAGTTAGCACATAAAAGTAGCATACATACTTTCTTTGTTACGTTACATTTTAACATCGAACAAAAAGTTCGGAAATTAGTGTTTGGTGGATTATTTCTCTATTGTAACAATGATGCTTCTTGGCAATGAATTTTATACCGTTGGAAAGCCTGTTTAGTTACCTTTCAAACGGTGCCCCATTTGTAAGGAACATGCATTTCTGGGATGAGCAGCACAGCTGAGTATGTGGGTTGCACCCATGAAAAATTTGCCAAATCTTCTCTGCAATCCATCGTTTGGGGCGATGGACGCGAATTCGCGTCCATTGCGCCGCAAATTCGCGTCCATCGCACCGCGCCATCGCAAATTCGCGCCGCGCCAGTCTCATCGCGTCTGTGCATAGACTTTGTATGTATTCTACTCGCGCGAATTATTATTGATGAATAATTAATTCGCGCCGTGTTTGTTGATGAACGCAGCATTAGTGTGGGCCTTGTTTTATTATCTGAGCCCTTGTATCAAGATCTAGTTTTAAGGCCAGGGCAGAGCAGCACTGGAGCAGGGCTTTCATGCTCTCCAGGACCAGGTGCTCTGCATCAAGTAATCTGCCGACTGCGTTCCTGTGACTCCTTCAGGGACAAAACGATGAAAGCATACTCTGACAGGTGTTAGAGGCAGGGCCGTCACAGTGTAGGAATATAAGCATGTGTAGATGTGAATAAAACCGTGGAGCCCTCCTTTAAGTACCAATATGTGGTGCTTGAGTATCTTCATGTGATGCTTCGTTATGCTTCTTCTTCACTCTGAATTAAACTTATTTAAAGGCATATAGATCAATATCTTACATACAAAACCCATTTTATATAATGCTTGTTATAGATTAAACTACCCAACAGTATACGGTGAGGACCACAGTAGAGCATGGAGGTTCATTCTTAAAAAAAGAAAACAAATACATAAAACAAGATGATATAGAATAATAGAAGAATAGAAATTATATATATATTTATTTTTTGTCAAGCTACACCTCAACCAGTGACAACTTTGAAAATTCTGCTTGCATATTAATGCATCATAATCCAATATTATAATATATAATTAACTAACGGAGGGTCATTCTGGCAGTCTAATGATTATATTTACTGTCTAATACTTCAAGCACATTCTGATAATAATAATGATGTGCTTGTTAAAAAAATACATGACATCAAATACATGTTCACCACCACTATTATCACGACCTCACCTACAAACTTTCTATGCAAGTCCATTTTTACAGGATAAATCTGACGTATATATATTTCCTCTTGTCAACTAATCCCACGGAAAGGTCAAGATCAACAGTGAACATATCTACTCAAAGGCATTGTGTGTGTGTGTGTGTGTCAGAACATGATTATGTTATTCCTCTGTGCCGTCATGCTCCATCAATAACACATCAATGAGGTACACTGTAGCACTAATTTAATTTTTTGATTAAAGTACATGCGAGAAGATTTTCAGGAGGAACCCATGTGCTGAGTTCCACAGACAGTGTAGGGAAGTGAAGAAGTCTTGAGAGACAGACTAACACATTTCACATTCTTGTCAAGGGATTTGTTGACAGTAACATGAATATATAGTATGGCCAGTCTTGTCCTAAAAGTAACTTACAATAAGGTTTACGTGGGAGTTTTAAAATCAAATGCAGAAACAGCTGAGGCGCTGAAATGGAACTAAAAGTTCTGGCCTTCCAACATCCCAACCGGTTTCACATCCAGTTGCCTGGTTTCTGTCAGCGTCCATCATTCACCTGAGAGTACGACACACACCCTGATTATTCCTAGAGTTCAGCCAAACAGAGCTCACTACCATCGAGAGGGGGATCAAAGCGTGTGTGTGTGTTGCCAGCCCAGTACACACACACACACACACACACACACACACCACCACCACCACCCTGAGGCTTTTATTATGAGGTGAAGAATAGAAGCTGGCAGTGTATGAAGGGACTGGTTTGGACTTTGACTAATGAATACATCAAAAAGCTTCAGTCAGCAAATGACCTCAAGGTCCTCAACTGAGCTCTATGGAAAGCTATCGTATTGAAAGATGGTTTTAAACTTTTATATGCCGCAGTTATTATACGGTAGTGTATAAACCATATATCCAGTCAATATGATAGCCAGTACATATAGCTTATTGTATATGAATGGATGAATGCCACATTGTACAAACTGAATTATCCTACTAGTAAAAATGTGTGTGATGGAGGTCTGGCGCCACCTTTCATCCAGACATGTGCAACAGCATTTCAAGAGAAATTTACGATTAATTAATAAGGACAATTATCTGCTTGAAAATTAGGACTTCACAAATTTCACCTAATTTCAAATTTAAAACGTGTCAGAAAATGTGGCTACAATATTACACGACCAGATGGGGATCCCCTGTTTTCACTGAACCCTTTCAGTTTGGCAGACACCGTGCTGCTAAATGTAATGTGTTAGGTTTAGGGTTAGAGTAGTACATGTAATGTGTTAGGGTTAGAGTAGTACATGTAATGTGTACACGTTGATATTTAACATAAAAAGCTGAGAAAAAACAGATGTAGTCTTGTGATAAGTGACATCAGCTACAGGCTTTTGGCGAGTCATCTATCAGCTGATGTCCTGCAGGAATCTCACTTAAGTCAAGCTAGACTGACTTACGCTAAATAAAATAACGGAAGCTGTCCAGTTTTCCCTTCAAAGTAAAGGTCACCCAGGAAAAACATTAAGAATGAAGGAAAAAACATTAAGAAACATTAAGAATGAACGATTAAGAATGAACATTTCGTTTGAGATTCTTCCACACAAATTCAGTGGTTCGCACTTACAATACCAGAAAGTTACATGTTCCAAGATTTAGAACTTCGCTCAGTTATACTGTTTACTTTGTCATATTGCACATTCATCTATTTGAACTTGCACTCACAGAACAATATATATTGTACCAAACCCGATTACTCATGAAACATGAATTGTACAGGGTTAGGCTCACTCAATGTATCCTTTATATGTGAAACATAATTATTTTTTTATTTCAAAGGTAATCTTCTATAATAAGGGAGATGTATTTATTTTATATTGGTATTTATTTGTGATAGTGATCATTTCATTTGCAACTAACTAGATCACCAAAACTGTGCAATTTTATCATAAAGGTTATACTTTTTGGAAGCTTAACATGTTATCTGTTTCATGGCCACTGGATTTCAAGAAATTGATATGTATGTGCAAAATAATGTACCAGAAAATTTATGAGGATTGTAGTAGGATGGTAAACATCCTCAAGGCAGACATAAAGCCCATGGTGACAATAAGAGACTATGCAGGTTCCAATAAGAGACTAAGTAGATTACAGTAAGGATGTTTTGCAAATGACAATTGACCTTGCATTCTTCTTAAATACAATATTAATTGTTACTTTGATAGTTGTTAATATTACACACACAAATCCGTCAATTCCGTATTATTTTGAAAATCTCCCCCGGAAATGTATTGCGTAGTTTAGTGTCACTTGGCGACATTGTCAGTGCGTCAACTCGTCAAATGTGATTACTTTCAGCTGTGGACATCGTAAACGCAGGAAAAGAAGCCACTTAAGCAGAAGGGAGAGCCAGATGCCGGGTTTCCATGTGCTGCGATCACCGGAGAGGTTCAATGTGACTTGTATGCATCCTAAATAGCTCTGCATCCACCGCTTATGTAGACGTTAGTTTGTATGGGAGTAACGTAAACGTAACCCCGCTGCGGCCCATAGTTACAGAAGCGCCTGAACCCTATCTGGACCAGCTGCGGACTCTGACGTTTCTAGCCCACCACCGTCATGGCCTCTGCCACCTCGACCCCCGCTACCGCCTCCAGCGGCCGCTCCAGCCGCTCCGCCAGCCGCTCCGCCAGCCGCCACAGCGCAGCCACCGGCCTGCCCGCATCCAGCACCAGCCCGACCCGCATGTACCGCATCCAGGAGAAGGAGGAGCTCCGGCACCTCAACGACCGCCTCGCCAACTACATTCACCGGGTCCAAGACCTGGAAAGTGAAAGGTCCTCCATATTGTTTCAGCTGGAAGAAAAAGATGAGTCGAAAAGCCGGGAGATGGGCAACGTTCGGAGGCTGTACGAGGAGGAGTTGGCCGACGTCAGGAAGTCCCTGGACAGCCTGGCCGGAGAGAGGGCCCGTTTGCAGATCGACCTTGGAAATCTGTGCGAGGAGTACCGGAAACTTCAAGCCAGGTTGTAACGTTAGGATACAACAATACACGACCGCGCAGGTGCAGAAGAAGCTCTAACGCCAGACTCCGCTTATTGAATGCACCTGCGGACCACAGATGAATACAGTTTAACATGTCAGTGCCGCTGTGTAGTTTGCACTTTAATACTCTGCAGGTGTCTCATTCATATTTATATATTATAGCTGGTTCATAGCTCCCTGCTGCTCTCTATGGCGTTTTTCGAGAATGGGACATAAACTTATTTTTCACACTTTACACGTGTCGAACTGAGCATTGATCTTTGATATAAGCTTGGTTTGAATTTGCTAGAAGTTGGGTAGGGCCTGCATGTACGACAGTTACCAAGGCAGCATTAACTCTACACATGATCAGCTGTTCTCTGTGATGCTCATAACTCTCACGCTGATCTCCCTCTCAGGAACCAGAAGAAGGAGAGTGATCTGGCCAACGCTCTGGCCCAGTGGAGGCAAGTTGAGGCCGCTCTGAGCTCCAAGGATGCTGCGTTCACCAAGCTGCTGTCTGAGAACAGGAGACTCAGTGACGAGTTCACTGACCAGAGCAGCCAGCTGGAAAACGTAAGACCTGAAGCTAGCTGTGTGAACTACACGGCTAACTGGATATGTAATGATGTGCATGTTTGTGGTTCTGGTTGTGATTCTATCGGCATTTTGATGGTGTAAGACCGTGAAATCAAATATCGAGATATAAGCATGTCATCTAAATGAATAAACATATAGACTATTTATTAATTGATTGGTTCACCAGAAAACATGCTATTTCTTGATGTATATCATTATCGTGATATTGTGATGTCAGACCAGCCCTGCATCCTCCTTTACAGAGGAAAAGAGATGACCACCTCGATTCCTTTAACGCTTCATTGCGTCCTCGTGCATTTGGGTTCTCATAGCACCACAGTTGTCTTTTCCTACGTCCTTGTCCTTCACTTCTTTCTTTGACCTTTTCCATCGAGGTCAAAGAAATGTGGTTGGTAAAAAACTGCATAATTTCTTTGACTTCTAGAACGCAGCCTTTAACTTCTTGTCCGAGCTAGAGTCATGACATGGATAACCTAGCTTAGCATAAAAGACTGGAAGCAGAAGGGAAACTTTTTTACAAAGCACGAAATTGAAACGTACCAGACTTGTGATGATGTCTGTTCCCCTCTTGAATAGCACTCGCCTTTCATTGTGAAAGGAGAGTGCGAGGGGGAAAAAAATAAACCGAGCGTCACCTTTACTTATTTATGCCGACTTTATCCAGCAACATGCTCCATGCTGTTGTGAAGATAATTACAAATATTTGTCAGTTTGTGACCCATTTTTTCCTGAGACCTGATTTGAAGCTCAAAAGCCATGACTTTACCAGAGATGAAGATCATTTATTCTGATGTTTTAACTGAGTGTCTGGGATGGGGGGTGTCCAGGTAGAGGGTGCTCTGGCAGACACCAAGAACCAGCTGAGCTCTGAGATCCTGAGGAGGGTGGACTTGGAGAACCAGGTGCAGACCCTGAAGGAACAGCTGGGACTCCAGAAGAACATCAATGAGCAGGTAAAAGCACATGAGGCCCCTAAGCTGGCCAATCTTGACTCTAAATTACTAACATTTACCTCAACACAATTTAAATTGCACAGATTCCTGTCGTGCTGTATTCAGTTTGCTCTCTGCATCGCCTCAAGCTGACACTCTCACAACGCTGTGCTTTATTTGTTTTGAAGGAGGTCTTTGAGATCCAAAGCCGACATGAGAGTCATCTAGTGGAGCTGGACTCAGGACGCCGGAGAGAATTTGACAGTAAACTGGCGGAGACGATGCAGCAGCTCCGCCAGGACCACGAGTCTCAGGTGCAGCAGTACAAAGAAGAGATCGACAGGACCTTCAGTTCTAAGGTACTTGCGCACAGCTTAAGGTGATGCCGTGAAAAGTTTCCATATTTATTGCACTTTTTAAATTTTTTTTTTTTATTATTCAAAGTTTCTGATATTGAACGTTTTCTGCACTACAGTTACAGAATGCCCAGCAGGCCGCATTGGAGAAAAACAGTGTTGCGTCAGCCACCAAAGACGAACTGGAAAGCACCAAGCTCAGAGTGGAGAGCCTCAGCTCCCAGCTCCAGCAGTACCAGAAAGATGTGAGTGAGGCCATGAACACGTGTGTGCGTGTGTGCGTGTGTGCGTGTGTGCGTGTGTGCGTGTGTGTGTGTGTGTGTCCGCCCGCAGACTGTCAGACACCTGCTACGCTTAAAATAAGAGGTTTTCTAAAGGGACTCGACCAAATGAAACTTTAAAGGTTATATTCTGGCATTGATAAAACTTCTGAAAACTGATCTGGGGTCTAATTTATAAAACGGCACATAGGATCCCCACTAAATGTTTGCGTACGTTCAAAGGAGGAAATGCACGTATGTCAAAAAATAGTAGCTGGTTCAGCCTCACGTCCCGCCCTCTACACAGCGCAGTATTTACGTTTACAGCAATCGCACTGATTGCTTCCAAAATGATCGTGACCATCAGTGGTATCCACCACCCTGAATATCAGTTTTTTTTTTTATAAAGTTTGATATGTCAACACAATTTATTTACTTATGTTTTCTATGGCATTAGGACTGATGAGGACATGGAGTGACAGTCACCATGGTTACTCCTCCGATAGCTGTGTACAGTTTGTCTGTGTACAGTATGCTGAATCTGTCACTATGGAATATACACCATGAATGAATAAAGTCGTGTTCACTGCAGAGCAATAATCTAATACTGGGCATATATCACCAAGTACAATAGGAGTGTCCATTACAGCTGATAAATGTATCGGCAACAGTTAAGCAAGTTTAAGAGCGAGCTTGAACCCACGATCGAGGTGTGTGTGTGTGTGTGTGTGTGTGTGTGTGTGTGTGTGTGTGTGTG